GTGGCAATTCAACCCATAATACCTCCTTTCAGTAAAAAAGTGATGAGTCACTAATCTTGTTAATCTGTCACTAAATCTCCTTAGTAGCTTGCAAATCAGTATCTTCTCTCTTCCAGGAGTCACTCTACTCTCCCCATATTTCTCTTCTCCTCCCCTCATCCCCACAATTCTGTTCTACTCTCACTGCTTCTACCTTTAATGGTCAACTCTCTACTGGACTACCAAAATAGTCTCTTAAACAATCTGGTCTCCTTTACTATGGTTTCAATCACCCTTCCCCAAATCATTCATGCTATCACTCAGATGATCTTTCTAAAATGGAAATCTAATCATGCTGTCCCTCCATTACCACCACCATTGCCCTCTCCCACCCTGTGAGAACAAACACTCCTTAAAACTCTTCAGGGGTGTATAGGAGAAATTTATATTAAGCACCTAGATTCATCTTTTTGCTGCTCTATTTTGCTGCTCTCTCATACACATTCTAACCCCAGCTAAACCAAGCTGCTTCCTGTTTCATATTTCTTTGCTTTTACATATGCTGATCCTTCTAAAATGCTTTTCTCTTCCTAAATATCTGGTATACTTTACTATCTTTTAAACTCCCTTGACCCACAAACAACTGTATACTTTTTTGTGCCACTACCCTTTTTAATATGTTCCTCTATAATTGTACTTATTACATGGTGTTTCAACTCTAATATATATATTTGCTCTTTACTACTCCTGAAATATCTACCTCAAGGTCAGACATCTTTTGTACTGCTAGCACCTAGTATGTCATCTGTTCCATACTAAATTAAATCTTTAAAAAAACTGACTGTACCTAGTACTAGAGAACATGTGGGATAACTGGAACTCTCTCTACATGGCTGATCATAATACAAAATAGTAAAGCCACTCTGGAAAATAATTTAGCTGCTTTTTATGAAGTTAAATATATACTTATGACATGCTGGACCTATTTTACTCCTATTTAACTGAGATAAATTAAAACAACACTCACACAAACATCTGTACATGCATGTCTGTAACAGTTTTATTCATAATTACAAAAGACTGGAAACCCCAAATGTCCTTCAGAGAGTGAATTGATAAACTGTGGTGATACAAACAATGAAATACTAATCAGCAATAAAAAGGCACAACAAGGATGCATTCTAAAACACATTATGCTGAGTAAAATAAGCCAGTCTCAAAGGTTACATGCTATATGATTCCATTTGTTGGACATTCCAGGAAAAAACATATAGGGAAGGATTACTTAATCATTCCCTGTAATAGGGGTCAGGGAAGGAATTGACTATGCAGGGATAATACCAAGGGAGTCATTTGGGGGTGATGGAACTGTTCTCTGTCCTGGTTGTGGAGTGGTTCCAAGAATCCATAAATGTGTACCATTTAACCAAAACTGTATTCATAAATTAATTTTACAGAATATAAATTTTAAAATAAACAAATGCATTGCTTCCTAAACATAAGCATAAGCTGCCCTTTCACTCCCCTCCCACATATCTTACCCCTAGCCTTAAAAAAGATGACTTCATGTGAGGAGAAAAGTGGAACAGACTAAAAGAATGCCTTTGAGATGGAAATTAAAGGAATTTGCTACAACATTATGGACATTTATCTTAAAAAGCTGGATTATGAGATAATGATTTATAATTTTAGAGAAAGGCAAAGGCGAAGAGGCCTAAAGAGGAGAGCAAATAGACCTTAAATTTTTTTAAAAAATGGCTTGTCTTCCTAGTATTCACCTCTTTCTATAGTACCATGACATAATAATTATATCTTCGTGTACTTTGCTTTTTTTATGTTTCTGTTACACACAAAAAGATTTAAAAAGTAATTTAATTTTAAGAAGATACAAAGTTTTTCAGAATTCCAAATCTAAAATTAAAGAAATTAATCAGCTGCACATCAAAAGCTCTAAATGATGAAAAATTTCTTAAAAGTCTGGTTGAATCTAATATTGGGATTAAATCTAAAGGAAAACTAATACAATTAAGGAAATGATATTCAGTATATTTAATACTTTGCACCTGTCTTTGCATGCCTGTTTCTCTTCCATGCCTGCTCCCCTCTGCCTTTTATTGCTTCCTCCCTTTTCTTCCCTATCCTCCCAAACAATATGCATGCCCTCTTCCTCCCCAGTGCCTCCTAGAAACTTGCCACAAGCTTAAATTATCTGTTTTTAGGAATTATTGCATAAAATAGTCTTCATTTCAAAGGCCATGAATTAAAATATAGCTAGTAGTCAAATTCAAATACTGTGGTACTCTCTTCCTAAAACAGGACAATGGGGAATATAAGTAGCATAAGAGAATATCCTATACAATAGAAGGCTAAGCCCTGACCGGTTTGGCTCAGTGGATAGAGTGTCGGCCTGTGGACTCAAGGGTCATGAGTTTGATTCCCGTCAGGGGCATGTGCCTTGGTTGCGGGCACATCCCCAGTCAGTGGTGTGCAGGAGGCAGCTGATCGATGTTTCTCTCTCATTGATGTTTCTAACTCTCTGTCCCTCTCCCTTCTTCTCTGTAAAAAATCAATAATATATATATATTTTTAAAAAGGCTAATACGCAAATCGACTGAACAGTGGAATAACTGGTCATTATGACGTGCACTGACCACCAGGGGGCAGACGCTCAATGCAAGAGTTGCCCTCTGGTGGTCAGTGCACTCCCATAGGGGAAGCGCTTTTCAGCCAGAAGCCCTGAGCCGGGGAGCAGGCCTAAGCTGTCAGTCGGACATCTCCAGAGAGCTCCTGGACTACAAGAGGTCACAGGCTGGGCTGAGAGACCCCCACCCCCCAAGTGCAGGAATATTAAACTAGAGGCCTGGTGCACAAAATTCCTGCATGGGTAGGGTCCCTAGGCCGGGCCAGCAATCAAGGCTGATCTGTGGGGCGACCAGGGGTGTGATTGGGGTTCCCTGCTGGCACCCGCCTTGGCTGGCCAGGGCCTGTGGGCTGGGGGCAGCTTCTGTATTGAGTGAATGCCTCCTGGTAGTCAGTGAGCATCATAGTCACCAGTCGTTCCACTGGTCATTCCACCATTCAGTCAATTTGCATATTAAGCTTTTATTATATAGGATATCAAATGAAAATACTAACACTAACTTAACATTTACTCTTCGAACAGTATGTGTGTAATTTGAATTATAACTTTTTCAATGTATCTTGTTACTAATATGTACTTAGAATGCTGAAAAGTTTAATAAAGTCAAACATATTAATAATAAATTTATAAGGCAAAATGTGTATGCCAACAAAAATAGGGCCCTAACCAGTCTGAATAATTTTTTTGGCCAAATTACTATTAATTCTGAAGACTATTGAATGTATACCCTGAGTTCCAAAAACTTAATTGTCCAAGAAAAAAATAACTTCTCTATCTTAGGCCTCTGGGCTGAGATTATATAAATAAGTCATTTACTGTGATGAACTGTAAAAATAAGGTGTTTGAGAAGACAGCAGCAATTTACAGTTACTGAACAACTGACGGTCTTTCATTTTATTTTGTCCATTTATGAAACAACAATGACCTGTGGGTAAATTCTAAAATGGTGGTGTAAGTCACACGCCTATGGAAAAATAGTTCTATAGAATGTTCTCTGTGAAGCAAGAAATGAGGTAAAGAAATTGATATTATGTCCTAACTGGTTTGGCTCAGTGGATAGAGTGTTGGCCTGCAGACTGAAAGGTCCCAGGTTCGATTCCAGTCAAAGGTGTGTACCTAGGTTGTGGGTACATCCCTAGTAGGAGGTGTGCAGGAGGCAACTGATCAATGTTTCTCTCTCATCGATGTTTCTAACTCTTGATCCCTCTCCCTTCCTCTCTGTAAAAAATCAATAAAATATTTTTAAAAATAAAAAGAAATTGATATTACTTTTCTGCAGCCTTGGTTAACTCACCTAAAATGGCCAAAAATGAAAATATAAAAAAAAAAGAGAGGTTGGTGAGTACAAAATGGCACACCTGGCTATTGGGAAACACTCCCTGCATTACACAGACCTATGTGTTTATTTTCACAAATATAAACTATACTGAATATCAAAAAGAATACTTTAAAATTCCCAATATCATTCTAACTAATTTCAGAAGCATCCAGTGTTAGAATTTTGGATACTAAGTAAAAATTTATTGAGACATAAGGTATTATTGTTTTAGAGTAGAGTGTAAAAAACTCACATAAGTTTCCAGACATAAAAAGAAACTTGTTTTTTTAAACTAAAATATTTGTAATAACATCTTAAACCATAACTTTACCAATAAACTTAAAATAATAATGTAAGTTTTCATAAATGAAAAAGAAAAGTATCATCTCATACTTTTTCCGCCTAAAAATCAATCCTTTAAATTGTTCTCATTGTTAGGCAAAAATAACAAATATTTTCTTAAACAGAATACATAGAGAATGATAGTTCTAAGGTTAATATAAAGTAATTGTCAACTAAAATATAAAATTATAAAAATATCTTCTTTTGCTCTTGGGAAAAATGAATTCTATAAGATGTGAATTGTTATTCTTCTTCAGTCCTTCCTGAAACTTGCTCAGCCTTGGGAAACTCTGCTTCGTACTTCTTTTTGAGATTACTTAAATATGTTCGTAAACTGTCTGGATCCAACCGAGAGTTTCGAGCAGTTTGAACTAGCCTAGTAGCTAGATGGTACACCGCTCTCTGTCTCTCCATCTCAGGAGTACTTCTTTGATATTGCTATCATTGAAAAAATACATATATATGTAATTTAAAATATGACTACCATGATTCTAATATTAAAATTCTAGTAATTTTCTATATCTTTTAATAGAAATATAGAGTTCATGGGTTAGCAAATCCCTTCAGCTAAATCAATTCCATCCAACTAGCAAGAATATATGAGAAGAAATAAAGATATATTATTTTGGAGAATAAAAATTCTCAAGAGTATTTACAACTTTATGACAGATCCTTATAACCTTGAAAATCACTTTTCAATTAAAAGAAAAATCTGCTAAGTAGGTCAACTATCTCAACACAAAACCAGAAAGCAATAGAAAATCCACCAGAGTTATGTTCTACAAACATTTTCTCATTAAAAAGGTATGGAAAAAGAGCACTTCTCATTGCTATTCAATATTCATAATTTTAATTGTCACCCAAGAGTACCACTCTGCTATCTCCTATATTAATCCCCCAACAGATAAGCTGGTGGAAAGAATGGGTCATCAATAAACTGCTTGTCCCTCAAGAGAGTTCACACATAGAAACTGCTAGAGCCTAAGAGAAAATACTGCCTGAAAGGCAAATTACAATTTAAAAATAAGCAACATAATTAGCTACTTAGAATTATGCCTTGATTTTCAACAAACTACTTAAGGATACCCAAGAAATAATGTTTATAATGGCAATTTTTGAATTCTTTGTAAGATCTTTATATATTCAGTCCTTGAATAATACTTCAGGGTTGGAGGTACAGCTAGAAAGTCCTTCATTCACTTCTTGCCTGACCTAGATAGGGGAACCAGCATTTTCAATGTTAACTGTGTATGCAAAGTCTTAGTGAGTTTCTTTTACTAAGGGAAATAAAATCCCTCAACTCTTTCCTAATAGCAAGCAATTCCAGATATTATTCTACTTTCACTATAGGAAAAATAAATATGATTTTGTGAGTAGAATAAGATTATCATATATTTACCCATGTACCTATTTAATACATTGATCAACTATCAGTTTATTATTTAAATAACAAATAGTTATTGAATATCCATTGTTATCTATATTCTGAGTCCCATACCTTGTATTTACTAGTATACCTATAGGAGACACAAAAATGTCTACCTGATATGATAATGAACTCAAGATCAGTCCTATAATGTAAAAGACATATTTATAAGCAACTAATGATGTAATTATGATGAGTCCCATTAGAGAATACAAAATGCTCAAACGAAGAAGAGCTCAGATAAAGAAAAGTTTGAATATGATAGGGTATTTGGAATCAATCTTGATAGACAAGAAAAGCTTAGAAGGAAGGATATTCTGGACAAAGGAAACACCTAGAGAAGACACATTAAAAGCATACAGTTATATAATATTACCCAATGTCAACCCAATAAATCAATAAATTTAACTTTAAGATATTTATAAATAAGAGAGAGAGAGAGAGAGAGAGAGAGAGAGAGAGAAAGAGAAAGGTTTTTTTAAGAGAAAGGAGGAAGGAAGGAGGGAAGGAAGGAAGGAAGGAAAGAAGGAAGGAAGGAAGGAAGGAAGGAAGGAAGGAAGGAAGGAAGGAAGGAAGGAAGGAAGTTAGTTATACAATCAGGTCAGAGCAACAAAATGACAATTAAATATGGCAGAAATGTAGGTTATATAGTTAAGTAATGTTGTGTAAGGCTGGGGTAGTAAGCACTGATTTTTATTATTTCCTTCTTTCTGCTTACGCTGGGCTTTTCTTGTTGCTCTGTTTCTAACTCTTTGAGTTGTAGGGTTAGATAATTTACTGCCATTGTTTCTTGTTTTTTGAGGTAGGCCTGTACAGCTATGACCTTCTCTCTGAAGACTGCTTTCACTGTGTCCCATAGATTTTGGATTGTCGCGCTTTCATTGTCATTTGTTGCCATGATGCTTTTTATTTCTTCTTTGATCTCTTTGGTAACCCAATCATTGTTTTAAAGCATGCTATTCAGCCTCCAGGTGTTTGATTTTTTTATTGTTTTTATTACAGTTGATTTTTAGTTTTATGCCATTGTGATCTGAGAAGATGCCTGATATGATTTCTATCTTCTTGAATTTGAAGAGAATTTGCCTGTTCCCCAATATGTGGTCTATCTTTGAAAATGACCCATGTGCACTTGAGAAGAATGCATATTCTGTGGCTTTGGGGTGGAATGTTCTGAAGATGTCAATTAATTCCATCTGATCTAGTGAGTCATTTAGGATTGATGTTTCTTTGCTGATTTTTTGTTTAGATGATTTTTCCAGTGGTGTTAGTGGGGTATTAAAGTCCCTTACTATGACTGTATTGCTGTCAATCTCTCCCTTGATATCCTCCAGAAGTTTTTTTATGTATTTGGGTGCTCCTGTATTGGGTGCATATATGTTTATCAGAGTTGTATCTTTTTGTTGAATTGCTGCCTTTAGTATTATGAAGTGGCCTTCTTTATCTCTTGTTATGGCCTTCACTTTGAGGTCTAATTTGTCAGATATAAGTATTGCTACCCCAGCTATTTTTTCATTTCCATTCACCTGAAAAACCTTTTTCCATCCCTTCACTATCAGTCTGTATAAGTCCTTTGTTCTGAGGTGGGTTTCCTGTAGACAGCAGATATATGGATCATGGTTTCTTATCCACTCAGCTACCCTATGTCTTTTTATTGGGGCATTTAATCCTTTTTCATTTAAAGTGATTATTGATAGGTACTTGTTTGTCGCCATTTTTGTTCTTTATGCCTGTGTTCCTTCTCCCCTTCCTATTTGTTCTTTTTACAGCTGACCCTTTAGCATTTCTTTTTTAAAAAATATATTTTATTGGTTTTTTTACAGAGAGGAAGGGAGAGGGATAAAGAGTTAGAAACATTCATGAGAGAGAAACATTGATTCAGCTGCCTCCTACACACTCCCCACTGGGGATGTGCCCACAACCAAGGCACATGCCCTTGACCGGAATAGAACCTGGGACCCTTGAATCTGCAGGCTGATGCTCTATCCAATGAGCCAACCAGTTAGGGCCCTTTAGCATTTCTTGCATTGATAGTTTGGTGGTAATAAACTCCCTTAGTCCTTTTTAGTCTATGAAGCTCCTGATTTCACCCTCAATTTTGATTGATAGCTTTGCTTGGTACAGCATTCTTGGATTCAGATCATTCCTTTGCATGACTTTGCATATTTCATTCCATTCCCTCCGGCCTGATGTGTTTGTGTTGAGAAGTCAGTCGATAGACTGATGAGAGATCCTTTGTAGGTAACTTTCTGTCTCTCTCTGGCAGCCTTTAAGATTCTTACTTTGTTGTTGGTGTTTGCCAATTTAATTATAATGTTTCTTGAAGTTGATCTTTTGGGGTTCATCTTGTTTGGGACTCTGTGAGCTTCTTAGACTTGTGTGAGTTTTTGTTTCCAGATATCAGGGAAGTTTTCTGTCATTATTTTTTCAAACAGGTTTTCTATACCTTGCTCAATTTCCTCTCCTTCTGGCATCCCTATTATGCAAATGTTGTTTTGGTGCATGTTGGCTCAAAGTTCCCTTAGGCTCTCCTCCTGTTTTTTTAAGTTTTTTTTCTAGATGCTGCTCTGCTTGGGTATTTTTTCCTACCTTGCCTTCTAGCTCACTGATGCAGTCCTCTGCTTCTTCTAGTCTACTGTTGATGCTTTCTATTGAGTTCTTTATTGCAGTAATGTCATTTTTCATCTCTTCTTGGTTCTTCTTCATTTGCTCTTGGTTTTTACACATATTATTTAATTTGTCTTCCATCCTTTTCAGCAACCTTATGATTATTCCTCTGAATTCTTTCTCTGACATATTCCTTGACTCCATTTCACTTCCTTTTCTGGCGATTCCTCCTTTTCTTTCTTATGTGGGCTGTTTTTTTGTCTCCCTATGATCACTCCTCTCAGGGTTTCTGGTTATGTAGCTCTCTCTCTTCTGCATTGACTTAAAGGCACAAAATACAAGACAACGAGACACATCGCACAGGGCACCAAACACAAATGTATTCACAATACTAATACCCCTAAATAAAGGTGACCACCAAAGAAAAGAGAATTAGGGAATAGATATGAGTGCAAAAATGATATTGAGAAAAGGAAAAAATGTAAGAGAAATGAGAAAAAAAAAGGAAGGGAAAAATATGTATATGAGGGAAAATGCCAATAAAACAACTAATCCAAAAAATGCAAACAACAAACACCCAGATGAATCTGAGGAGAAAGAGCTTATTTCCAGGAGGCAAGGTCAAGAAATTGATTGAATGGGGAAATACTTTGAGGAAGCAGAGCTTATTTCCAGAAGTTAAGGTCAATGAATTGAATGAATTGGTAAATAGCCACAATTCAGTATAGAGGAGTTAGAAAGAGAATGGCTGTATAAGAATAAAAGTTAAAAACTAAATACAAGAAAAGAAAATTAGTACAAGAAGAGAACAAGTGAGGAGAGGAAAACCAGAAGCAAAAACACACACACACAAAAAAACTAACCAATAATCAAACAAACAACAACAAGACAGAAAGAAAGAAAAATGCAAAAAAAGAAAAAGAATTTATATAGTGAAGAAAGTGAAGAGAGAAGTGTGTATGGGTTTGGAGCAGGGGAGAGGAAATTAGATGTGTGAGTGATATCAATTTTTAACAGGGAGTAAAAAGAAAGGGTAGAGAAAAATTAAAGCAGGAACAGGGTAAGAGAACAGGACAAAAAAAGGGGGAAAGTGATAAAGAGAGTGTTGGCATAAAGGAAAAATTGAGATAGAGTAAAATAATGCTAAAGGGAAAATCAAAATAGAATGCATAACACTAATCATAAAATAAAATAAAGAAAAAATAACATAAAACTTTTTAAAAAGGGTAAAATAATAGTATTAATACTAACAGTTAAAAATATAATAAAAGTAAGGTAAAAATCAAGTGAGAGAAAAAAAATGTGTTTCTTAAGTAAAAGGTAAAAAATAAAAATGTGAAGTAGTGAGGGTGGTTCACTTCCTCCACTTTTCTGCTTGGCAGGTAGTCAGCACAGTATTGAAGTTCCCTGGTGTCGTAAGCCACACCCTATTTTCAAGCAGGCGGATCTCTCTGCTCTCTTTGGTTCTCAGTCCTTTTTAGTTGTGTTTACAATTTCTGCTACAGCCCCTGGGTGGCAGTGTTTCTGTCTTAATATCCTGGGCTAAAAGGCCTCTCTACTCTGGCTCTGCGCATGACTCTGTGCACCACCCTGCGTGGTCGGTAAAGTACTTCAGGCTGCCTTTCTGGGTCCAATCCAGCTGTGGGTTAATATCTAGAATCCCCTTCTGCCAGCAGCCCTGTGAACCCCCTTCCACATTCGAGGGCTACACTGATCCCAACAGCCACGAATTTTGGGGGGCAGTCTTTCTCTGAGGCTCTAGTTCCTACTGTGCGCATTTCTCCCTCTAGCCT